GTTCGCAATTAGGGGAATTCAACAGGAATTATGCAAACAAAAGGCTTTTCTGAAAGGGCTTCTTCTACCTTGGCCCTAATTAGCTTACCAAATTTTATCACTTCTTGCGCCTACAGTGATCGGGTGACGCACTTGGCATTCCACCGATCAAACAACACGTGCTCTGTCACATGAGTTGTTAGTTGACTTAATTGATCGGACTTTTGCGTTTCTGTTTGTCATGATTCCACTATTCCCACCTCGTTCTGCCCTACCATTTTGTTATTGTAAACGCCTGAGGATATTTGTAATTTGTCACGTTTGCGAACTTGATGAAAGAGTCATTTTCAAGTCAATTTAATCTAAGCTTTAGCTACCCGGATGGGTGCCTTTTTAGCATTTTGCTTTATGAGCAGATTCTCCATTTCGCTTGTGTATCCTACATCTAACAACGGATTTTGCTTTTTGTATTATCCCCTATTCAACCCCTTGGATTAATCGGCCAAATAGTGCATTGTCACAAACTGTTGCCGTTGCTACTTTTCTACTCGTCTCGTGCATATCTTTACTTGATTACCAAGCGGATGTCACATGCTTTGCAACCAAATATCCCGTTGTACCTCGCACTTTCGTACTTCCACTTGGTATGTCAGATCGGTGTACAAAATATCGCTGGCGCCCACTCCATAGTCAGAATAAATCTATTTTTCCCAGCGAATCGCATTTACAACCATACAACATTTCAACCAACCTGCAATTGATCGGCTTAATATCCATAGCTTTCACATCAGTTGACACCGAGTCGGTAGCTAGACCTGCCCACGGTGTCGGAGAGGCTGAATACATTCTTCGCAAATAAATCTTAACAAATAGCCCCACGTATACTTATCGCTTTGAATGTTGCATCAATGTTATTAATGCACAATGTCAGAAGACACCGTGTCGCCGTTTCACTGCATGTCCTCACCGATTTCAAGACCGCAATGGAACCTAGCAATAGCGAACGACCCACAGACCATATTACCGTCATCTATAGATATCAATTATTCCTTCAGAATTATTGGCTCTTTTGTACCACCGGTGTAGCTTCCTATCATGTCTTAGTGTGTGCCCACTCTCCGTCCTTAGCGAGGCAACCGACTTCGCGTGGCACACCAATACGAGGATCATATACTTCGGTGTGGTAAAATTAAATCTGCTCTATTGTCTCTAAACAAATATCGTTTGCATTTGCCTTTGGTGCGCATCAATAAACATTGTCTCTGAAGCTCCGATCGTGCGTGTATATCTGATGCATGGGCTCTTATGATTAAGGCCTGTGAGTTGGATCTTTTTTGAAGCCCACTTCATCGTATCCCCACCGCTCTGAATTGACATCTGAGTTGCAGCCATAGCCATCGCGACTGTATTGCGCATTAAGGTTGTACTGTAATCTGCGCAATTATGTGCCATATCAAACGGCACCATGTGACACTTTTGTTGTCAACAGATGTTTTGCAAGCCGTTTCGAATAGCGCTTAGGAACGGTAGAAATGACTTGTTCATCTGGACTTGATGTCCAGTGTCAACCAAGTGTTGTAAAACCGAACTGTTGAAGGAATTTACAATGCCTTTTCGTGGTGACGCGGGACAGCGTCCAACAATCCTTTTGGACAAACACCTAGTCATACGTTCAAGCAAAATACTGCCACAGGTGCAGGTGAACGATCCGGACCGAACCGGGAGTTCATCCTTTAATCGCGGAAAAAGCAATGGTCATGTTTCGGCTAGTAGTTCTAGTTTGGTGGCTGGAAACGTCTTGGCCATTGCTGTTGAGACTTTGTTGTCGTCATGCTAGCCAGTTCAGCGTTTAGATGCATTCCTTTGCAGGATTCCCGTGCTTAGTCGAACAGTGGTCGATAGCTTACTAAGCAATCCACTTGATCCACAGTGTCTACATTGATAGTTTGTCCTCTTGAACCTACTCGGACCACTGCAGTCAAAGTTCCACCCTCAGGGAGATCCCCCACTACTTTGTACTGTGGAACCAGTACTCAGACGCATGGACCCAACGAATTCCGTCCACCGATACCGCAACTTGACAACTTTTGTTAATGGTGATTAGATTAGCTACCTTGTTCGGATTCAGTCCGTATGAATGCTGTCTGCTCATACCATAAGTGTTTTCTCCCTATCTCCATGCGTAACACTGATACCTCCGTATATTGTGCTTATGCCTCATCAAGCTACAACCATGGTTGCCCTGCTGCTTCGGGATGTGGTTAGTGAGAAGATGGGATCCGGATGCAATATTTAGACGCCATATGCAACCATCCGGGAGAAAGTTGCCTTCATGTTGTTGATTACATGCGGTTGAATCAGTCTGCTAGCTAGTGGCTTTCATTGACTTCTGTCATGATTAAAGCCAGCATCAACAGCATTACTTCAGCCATTTGAACTGATGCTTCCCTGCCATACAAACTCGATGACCTAAGGAATAAAGAAGAATAAGAGGGAGAAAAGGAAACTTACCGGAAAACCTTAATACCCTACGCATGGATTCAGGGTCAATGCGTCTACACCTTGTCCACAACATGCCGCCACAAACAGCTGGTTATCATGCAAAGATAAGGCGGCATCGGCGAAACAGCTTCCTTCCCGCTTTCACTTCCCTGCGTGATAATCGGCCATCACCCCGCAGATGACTCAGCATTAAACACACTTTAAACAGGCAGTCCGACTATGAGACGTCAGCAGACACGCCACTGGTGTGGATTACCAGCCAGGTCCTGTAAACTTTCGAGACAAGCACAAAGCGCATCACATGGATTTCCGCCCGGAAGGCGAGACGAAACAACATAAACCACAGGTTCCTCTGCGTCCGATAATCGACATGTCAGCCTCATGTACTCACTCGGTTTCGAAATGGCTTGCCGGTTTGCTCGAACCAGTACTCAAGGAACTATGGATATACACCTTGAAAGACACATTTGGATTTGTGAAAAGGGTAAAAAGCATGAAAGTAAATGACAAATTGATGCTGTCTCTGGACAATGAGTCACTTTTTACGAATTTTTCGTTGGTGAAAACTGTCAATTTTGTGTGATTAAGTAAATGAAATAACAGATGTGGGTATTCCTGTGAAGAAACTAAGGGAATTAATTTTAACATGTACCTTCAACCGATGCTTCTCATTTAATGTAGTCCACTACAGACAGGTTGAAGGTGTCGCGACGGGGTCACCAGTAGGACCAATCCTTGCTGATATTTTAATCGCTTTGATTGAGCGTGAAGACATACGACCCAGCAGAAAATCCTTTAATCCCTACTGTCGTTATATGGATGATATGTTCATAACCTGCGATTCAAACACCGATATTTCCAACCAGTTAAACTAGTCAACCAGTGTTCATCCATCACTGTACTTCACTATATTTCGATAGTGATGGAAAGCTAGCGTTCTTGGACATGTTGCGAAACCGAAGAAACGACGGTTCATTGGAAAGAAATGTATTCAGAAAGACCACACGGATAGGCCAATACACACATTTTCTAAGCTTTATACCCTTGAAGTACAAACCTGATCTTGTTCACTGCTTGTATTTTCGTGCTACGAAAATGTGAAGCCAAGAAACGCTGGAGGTCGGAAAGATCGGTATTCTCAAAACGCTGCAAGATAACAGTTACCCGACACCATTTAACAAGAAGTGTGCAGTGCTCCGTGATAGCCATGAAGTGATTAATACTGTCCCTATGAAGGACAGTTCCATCTTGTAACATCTGGTGGAAAGCGGACACCAGATTAAGAGGATTGCTGATGTCTTCCAAGTACCTTATGTAGTACAGTAACGGTATGCTAATGGTCTTATGAAGCAAATATTATGGACGACCGAAGCGTTCGCAATTAGGGGAATTCAACAGGAATTATGCAAACAAAAGGCTTTTCTGAAAGGGCTTCTTCTACCTTGGCCCTAGTTAGCTTACCAAATTTCATCGCTTCGTGCGCCTACAGTGATCGGGTGACGCACTTGGCATTCCACCGATCAAACAACACGTGCTCTGTCACATGAGTTGTTAGTTGACTTAATTGATCAGACCTTTGCGTTTCTGTTTGTCGTGATTCCACTATTCCCACCTCGTTCTGCCCTACCATTTTGTTATTGTAAACGCCTGAGGATATTTGTAATTTGTCACGTTTGCGAACTTGATGAAAGAGTCATTTTCAAGTCAATTTAATCTAAGCTTTAGCTACCCGGATGGGTGCCTTTTTAGCATTTTGCTTTATCAACTGCAGATGGATTGAGGTTGCAATGAAAAAATCCCAACTTTTACACATGTATTTCACTGTTTTAACTCGAGCAAACACACCAGCCTTCCTAAATAGCGATCGCACTTGACTGAACAGAATCCTCTGTAAATATACCTATTCCCCAGAGTTTCGTTTTACTAAACAATCCACACTTGGCCAAGAGCAACGAATCGCCGATCATGCGCAATATATCGATTTACTGTTTACAATATTGAAAAGCAAAACCGTTTCAGTGGCCGTATAAGTAGTTCGAACAAGGAAGTTGCCAAAATATACTGATATATTTGCAGTAGATAGCGTCCAAATGACTTTCAGCGAAAAGGCAATGGCCAATTTAAACGCTCCTGGTTTGACTTCTCTATAAATACATCAATAGTAAGTGCAGGTCTATGTGAGATCTCTAACAAAAATTGGTTACTTATGAGTTAGTACTGCGAATACGTATTTGTATTCACGCAGAATCTCAGTTCAATAATGCAGTATACATAAAGATTATGATCTGGGGAATACTATTATAATGTTCGTATAGAGGGTTCCGCGTGACTTCTATCAGGTCCCTTATGATACCATTCACAAGCCAGGATTGTTTCCAATTTCTGTATCTCCCTTCCTTTTTTATGCAAACAGCTAAGTTGCCTACGCATTGCTATTCATTCATAGTAATGCACACCTGTTTGTCTTTTCTTTGGGTCACAAGGCGTAATTCTGTCGCTTATCTCACACTTTTCTGCCTAGGTGCTGACACTCCGTTTTACTTGGCCAATCTTCCAATTGGTGTGAAGGAACCAATAAACGAGTTCGTCTCCGACCGTCGCGTTATTCCCTGGTCAAAAGATGTGGAGATCAAAATCTAAACTTATGCACCACCCCCTGCAGTCCACCGATGAACACAACCTCTTTCTAATCGCTTTCTCGTTACGCCACTTGATTTCTATGGTTGTTCTTTAAGCTGATCATCGAATTGCGCCAATTCATCCCCCATTGGACTTTGATTGTTCCGTGTTTTTTCTTTGTCTGGTGACCATTGGGGCTTCTCGTCTCGAACCACTTAACAGTGATTGTCTTAGTCTTGCTTGTCTCTGTGGCTCGAGTATGCGGTACATAGGAATGTTAGTGTGATCACCACTGCGGGGGTGAATACCGCCTATTTTTGTAATTCGTTCAGAAATGTGCAAATGTAACCATTGCACCCTTCTACACCTCATTCCTCTAAGCTGTTGACGCAGTTCCGGATTATATTCTCCGATATGCACATATTCATGTGTGTCAATTGATTCCTGTACAGGCATCGTTGAACTTGAGTTTGACACCCGGCTGTCTGATGCTTCCTTAGGGCGCATGTTGAGCTCCAATTGCCTCCGGTGAATTTGTCATGTGATCCTTCTTTGGTGTTTGTTCTTTACCATAACTATTATTACAGTATCTTGTTCAAGTCTTGACCAATCTGCAATTGGCAATGTCACAACACAGTTATCAATAACAAAACAGGGAAAACAGGTAGTTAGTAGAAGGATTAAAAACGTTTAGAAGATTTATGCTTTGTATGGATAGAGATATTCCCGATTGCGCACATCGAGGAAGGGGAATGACTTAAGGGACCCCACCGCAACCTTTGTTATTAAGTATCTGACCGGCAGGGTAGGGGATAATTAACGAAAACCGTTGACAGCCTGGTGGCTCATTCGCCTTCTTTGTGTTGGTGGCAAATCACAGAAATGCAGGTGGCTGACAACTTTATTCATCTGTCCTCCGTTAGGTAATCACCACTGCTTACAGAAGTGAGTGGTCAGTGACCACACAGCCGGTTACATTGAATTTGACACAGAGCCGTACGAGCTCTTGTGATATTTGATGACGAATAAGGGGACCAGCCCAGAACTCCCCCGCTCTCAGACGCCACCGCTGATTGTCCGCGACGTCTTATTCATTTCGCCTGCAAAACTGATGAGATTTATTCGCAGTTACCTCCATAAAGAAGGCATCCGCAACCTGGGGACGCGCTTGAGAGCATACAGCTCCGTCACTGGTTCTTCTTTACCAAGCAAATATCCTTACAACCCACTGCCTTGTAGGTCAGGCTATTGAGCCAAAGACTCAGGACGGAGTCCCTCAAACAAACCCCCGAAGGCCAACCACCACCACTCGTGTGATTGTCCACCAATGTAGTCATATGCCTGTGCGCAAAGCACTTCATCGCAATGAGGCTGGAACTTACCGTGGAGCGATGGTTTGTGCCTCAGCGATCCATGGAGCTATACTGGGCGGTGCGTTTTTTGCACCTTCAGAGCCACTCATACCAGATTGGTCAATGGTTAGAGGCCCGACAAACTCAGCCTCCTGGCCCTCCAGATTTGGGGTTGGAATGAGGTGGCTCCCTATTACTTAAAACGAACTCCTTGTAGCCCAGTGCCAAACCCGCTGCCTTGCGGACAGGTTTATCAACCAAAGGCTTTAGTTGAGAAACATAATCGTTCTCCTGTCTAGGCCTGGGCAACCTGACAGCATACTGCCCAGGCAGTACAATGAAGCTCATTTCAAACAAATATCTGATGCTCTGGCCACCGCAGAGGATAATCGACGGAGCCCTGTCTGCTGTATCGAGCAGCGTGGATAGGGGTTTGGATGCTGCTGCTCAACCTTTCGAATCTTTTTATTCCCCTCTTACGCTTTTTCTCTCTTACCGTCCCGTTCCAGCTTCACTTTTATCCCCCTGTTCTCCACCCCCAATGCTTGGCCCCTCCCGCATCTTGATTTGCTAGGCTTTTACCTTCCGGTTTCAAGTCACAGCTGAACGAGCAGCGTCATTACTCTTCTGTTGACAAGCCCATGTTCAACTGAACGGTCAAGCTCCCTTCATCGACTTCCATTTGGAGCCCCCGATCCTCCTTAAGAATCATATGCCTCAATGTACGCACATTCCTACAGATCGGTCAACAGGCAGCACTTGTCCGGAAATTAGAGACACTCTCAATCGATATCAGTTACCATCAGAAACGCTTGCAAGACTCGAGCTCTGTGCTCACTTTGCGATTCCCTTCAGGTGACGCAAGCAGCAGTTTCTCATTGCGCCTATCCGGTGACGATGCAACTTCGAGCACCGGCCAAGTCGGTGTTTTCATTGCCCTGAGTTCCCGGGCTGAAGCTACGCTGGTTGACTCTATTCCAATCAGTAGCCGGATGTGTGAGGTACGATTGGCTGACTTGTTCAAAGCTTTGAAGCCGCGCGGTACAAACAGATCTCTATTGAGTCAGAAGTAAGCGGGTGCGCGAAGAATATTCTTTTCGATAATTCTCATCAGGCGAGTACAATAATGAAGCAAAACGTTTGGAGAGAATAAAGCCCGTAGAGGCCTGTACAGAGAGAAATCAACTCATTAACTAGGCAATATGAACACTAAATCAATGGTTTGATCAATCGGATTATCGCATTAGGAAGCAGGTGAGCAAGGAAGGTCAAGTTCAAGGCCAAGGCAATTTCAGAGCCTGTAGCAGTGTGTGCTGTTTGCACAGCTCTGGTTTAGAACTTTGATAGCAATAGCTTCAGAAATGCCTCAATAAAAGTTTCTTCGCTGTTTTGGGTATCGTTTTAGGGATGGTATAAACGACTCGAAACGACTGGTTTATCTGGACTTGGTGTCCAGTGTCGACCAAGTGTTGTAATACCGAACTGTTGATGGATTTTACCGTGCCATTTCGTAGTGACGCAGGACAATGCTCAGCGATTCTTTTGGACAAACACCTGGTCGTATGTCCAAGATACCTAGCACCACAGGTGCAGGTGAACTGAATAAGACAAACGATTCGGACCGAACCGGGAGTTTATCCTTTAACCGCTGAAGAATCAGATGTCTTGTTTCGGCAAGTAGTTTTAGGTTGGCGGCTGGAAATGTCTTGGTCACTGCCGTCGAGATTTTTCTATTCAACAGTTCGAACGCGTCGTACCCTTTTAAGGAACTGTAAGGAATACATCCTTTTCGGGAACTGTAGCGACACATTTGACAGCCTCAAGCTGTTTGGAATGCTTTTTGATGAAAGGTATGGGGTATCCATTTTCTTGCAGCGTGTTAAAGATGAGCTTGTTTTCGCTTTCAAGCGTCTCTGGACTGCAGATTGCTCTGGCACGATGGTGTAAGCAACGGACTAAATTCCTCTTGCATCTCAACGACACAAAGCTAAGAAAGTGGGCACATTGACCTACCCACGTCGCTTTGCGAAAAACTCTTTTGATCGTCCCTTTTTTCACGCCGATGCAGTAGAACGTATCTAGGAACGCCAAGCAGCTATCTTGCTCAACTTCACTGGTGAATTTTAATGATGGATGCACTCTGTTAAACTGATCTAATAGAGTTAGGTAATCGATGGAAGAGTCACAAACAATGAAAGTGTCGTCCATGTAACGGTAGTATAAATCAAATGAAGATATAAGGGTGTTCAGTTCTCCACGTTCAAGCTTTGAAAGGAAGATGTCGGCCAAAAGTGGGCCTAGGGGAGAACCCATTGCGACTCCATCTATCTGTCTATAATAGATTCCATCAAACAGAAATTGTACGTTGAAGGTGCAACGCAGAATCAATTCTTTTAATTTATTCACCGGAATTCCAACATCAATGTTTCTCTCTGTGATGAAATCACAAATGAATGTCACAGTCTCTACCAGCGGCACGTTCGTGAAAAGTGATTCTACGTCAAACGAAAGCATTAATTTATCCTTCACGTTTAGGTTTTCTATTCGGTTGACAAAATCAAACGTGTCTTTGACCGTATGAATCGATAACTCTTTTCGAACCGGTTCCAGCAACTCTGTTATCCACTTTGCGACAGAGTGAAAAGCTGAAGTAGACATATCCACTATTGGTCGCATCGGAACGTTTGTTTTGTGCACTTTTGGCAAACCATAGAGTCGCGGAGGGTGTGAGCCGCATGGGGTCAGCTTTGAGAAAAGTGCATCATCTATGTGCTTCGACTTCCTTAATTTTTTCAAAATGTTAATGATTTTTGCTTCTTCTTGCGAAGTGGTTTCTTTTTGAATTGCGTCTCGTCGGAATTTGTTGGTGTCGTTCAGAATTGTTGTCAGTTTAGAGATGTAATCAGACTTGTTCATCAATACCCAGCCAGATCCTTTGTCTGGTCGGGAAAGGATTAGTTCTGGGTTGGATAACAGCTCCTTGATTGCGTCACGGTGCTTTTTTGTTAAGATGTTAGATGTTTGAGACTTAACGTTCCGATACTGATGATCTCTATTGGTCATCGCTGCCTATGCACCCAAAAAAGGTTAGCTATG